ACCCACTTCTTTTAATTTAAAACTCAGTGCACATTTGGGTAAAAGTGAGCTCTATAATTCACTAGACTTCCGTTTTCCTTTTAAGTTGAGTTTTAAAAGTTCTATTTACTTATTCTTTGTTTTTTGCATTTCCAAATCTAAATTTAAGCAGTAAAAAAGTAGGGTATATTTAAGCCATTATATCTATCTATCTACCTAATCTATCTATCTACCAACAACCTATCATCCCTCTATCCCGCTAGCCAGGTAGCTAGCTATATATCCATCTATCCATCTACTTGACAGTTACTTGTAAAACAAAATAGTTCCTCTTCACCACTTGGAAATAGCAACAGATAATAGAGCTATTAAATCAGCTTTTGGTGTTTACATAAAATGAATAATTTGGGGCACCTCGTCCCAAGCTATCTTATTAGAACCCCCAAGGAAAACCCCAATACTCTTGTTTTCTTGACATATGTTTCCAGTAAGCTCAGGAAGTTTGATACTCTTGCTAGTAAAACTAGAGGGAGGGAGGGGAAAATGGGATCCAAGTTGTGAAAAAATATTTTGTTCTATCTCCTCCTTTTTCTCCCATATTCAAAATTGCATGGGAAGTTTCTCCATAAGATTTATCACAGTTTGTTCTCTTCCTCCCTGAATAGGAGAAAACAGGACAGAGTACAGTCAGTCCTCTCATCTTATGAATAGGCTGCATTACAAAGAAATCTCATTAGTGATTTATTTGGACTCTATGCATTTTGGTGGAGAGATTTCTTTCTAATTAGTAAGTTTTCTAATCAACACTTAAAATTTACATTAACCTAGATGAGCTTGAAGTACAATACTGCCATCTTTATTTAAACTAACAAGGAACAATATGATACAGCTTATAGAAAGAAAACATTCACAAATCTAATCTTCACAGGTGTGTAGACAGCGTTCCTGCAAGAGTCAGGATCTGAGAATGGAGAGTTTGGAACCTTAAAACACTGTCAGCCTGGACACCATTAACCAATTATGTTTATGGTAGTGTTTTTAAGATAATCTAATGTCTAGTATCTGAAGGAGATTATTTATATATAATACTGTCATATAGTGGTTAAGAATGAAATTTTGAAATTAGAGCTAGATTTAATGCTTAGCTCAAAGCTTAAGATTCCTCACTTTATAACAGGTAAACTAATACTTCTACAAGAGTGTCTGACATCTAATAATCAGTATAAATATTAATAATATATAAAATATGAAAATTAGTTCACATATATTATTTAATTTTATATTACACAATTGAATTATATGTTAATAAAGTCAGAAAATTCTTTGAGTTTCAGTAATTTGCAAAATATATGCATGTTTTGAAGCCAGCTAACAAAATGGAACAAGAAATTAAAGAGCTCCCTATAGACAAAACTGGAAAAAAATTTGAGCAAGAAAACACAGTATTACAAACTTATAACTAAAAATATAAAATAAATATCCATAAGTTCTTACTGATGCAAATAAATAATTACATAAATATGTAAATAAATAAATGCAAAATTGAAGAAAATACTGCAAGCAAAATCATTCTAAATAATTTCTGCAGATACTCCACCTTTTGGAGGTAAACCTCTTTCTTACATGAAAACTGTAGACTGTGATTATCTTCCAAATGTATAATATGGAAAGGAAAAGCAAAACAAGGAGTAACTTTGTAGTAGAGAAACCTGAAAACATACTATTTAAAATAGGTGATCAAGGACAACATTGAAAGTGACAAGTCATAGAGTTAGTATATATCCTCAATGTGATGACATGAGAATGGTACTTTAACTCCATGGTGTTTTTCCCCAAAACACATGAGCCCAGTATAATCCTGAGAAAAATATCACATAAATTCTAATTGAGGGACAGTTTGCAAAATAGGCAACTATGTTTTAAAAATGTTTTCTCTATTTATTTTTAGAGAGAGGGGAATGGAAGGAGAAAGAGAGGGAGAGAAACACCCATGGAGAGAGAAACATTTATTGTATGTGCCCTGACCTGGGACTGAACACACCACCTAAACATGTGCCCTAGCCAGAAATTGAACCTGTGACATTTTGCTTTGCAGATGATACCCAGCCAACTGAGCCACACTGGTCATGACCAAAATACATAACTCTTCAAAAATATCAAGGTTATCAAAAACAAGGAAAGTATGAGAAAACTTTCACACCTAAGAGGAACCGAAGAAGACAAGATGATTAAATGTAAGATAGTGTCCTGAATGAGATCCTGAAACAGAAAAATGATATTATGTAATGAAGGAAATCTAAATAATGTTTGGACTGTAGTTAATAGTAATGTATTAATGTTTGTTCATTAATTGCGGCAAATGTAAGAAATTAATGTAAAATACTGATAATAGGGGAGAGTGGGTGTGGGGTACCCAGAAACCTTCTGTACTTTTTTATGAATAATTCCATAAAACCTACAACTGTTCTAGAGGAAAAGTTTATTCAAAACAAAACAAAACAAAACAAAAAAAACACAGCTGCTGTACTTGAACCAGAGAGGGAAGCCAAATGCCTATCACCTCTATTGTCATACCTCTAGTCCCTTGACAGCCTCTGGAGGAACCTTGACAGACCCCAGGAATTCCTTCAAGTATAATCCATAAAACCCCTCTACTGCAAATAAAACTGGATGGTGAAAATCAAAGTATAACTGGAGTCTAGTAAATGGAAAGTTTATTCATTTCCCTTTTTCTGCAAGGACTGTGTAATTTGTTGAAATAATAAAGTTTGTTTGGTATAACCTTTTCTTTAAAGGGTCAAATTTAGTGCTGACTAGTACACTGTCCTTAGAACTCCAAAGCACTTGGTACTTTTCTCAACTTATCTAAAAAGTGTTAAGTCCAGGTGGTTGGTTTATAATTACACAAGATATGGAAAGGAGAAGATGTGGTATTGAGGATGCATTGCTAATACTGTAAAATCATACCTCTTGTCTGAATTCACTCAAATCTTCTTCATTGTGAAATAATAAAATGCTAATAAAAATAAATCTGATTTAGCCCTGGCTAGTGTGGCTCAGTGAATTGAGTGCTGACCTGTGAACCAAAAGGACGCTGGTTGGATTCCTAGTCAGGGCATATGCCTGGGCTGCTGGTCAGGCCCCCAGCGAAGGGCATGCAAGAAGCAACCACACATTGATATTTCAATCCCTCTCTTTCTCCCTCCCTCCCCCTCTCTCTAAAAATAAATATATAGAATCTGGTTGAACTCATGTGATCATATGGGCTGACATTAGGAATAAGTGCAAGTGGCTGATTGAAATGTGCTCTTAAAAATCCCAAAGTTTTAAAGAAAAGTTATTTAAAGCACACAATGAAAAACTGTTCATCAGAAATGATTAACTGGAAACAGTATATCTTAATTTATAGCACTTTAATTTTCTCAACTTTTGAAATGTTTCTCAGATTAAATAATTTTCTTTATGTGAAAATGTAGCATCAGTAATTAGACTACATAAGTTCTTGGTCAAGTCATTTTGCTGTTCTTTCAAAGGCACTGCAAGCTAAACTTTAAAATCACCAGACAAGTGAAATGATGCCCTAGAATCAGAATTCTGAACTGGTCACCTGATTTCCCACTACCGGTAGGTAAAATTTCCATCTCACTCAGGAGCATCTTTCAGAATGAGTTTCGTGGAGTGCTTAATAGGGACAGCGGACAAGGAGATGCGGCCTTGTTTTGGCCTCCTTGTTAGCAGATGTTGGCATAAGAGGTTGAGTGCTTTCTGCTACTGTTTTACCTGATAGAAGAGTTATGGAGAAGGAATTTAAAGTCTTAAATGGCTTCTAACGTATTGGAAGTTCACAATACTTATAATAATAACTGGGGATAATCCAATCAATTAGTCCAATACTTTCATGAAAATGTAGAATAGCAATAAGGCTTAGAATATGTACAGTACTCATTAAAGAAACAGAAGCAGTGGGATATGTACACACACATACACGCATTATGTATTTTCACATAGATGTGTGTATATATTTACACATGTGAAAAAAGTTTAATTATTGTTGTCACGAATCAGACAGCAATTACAGCCAGATAATTTTACAATGTGGAAGAACACAAACCAATTACTTAATTTTCCAGATAAGGAAAACTAAAATCTTGTTTATTCAGTTTTCTAAAGCTTAAGTGAGTCACTAAAGGAAAATCCAAACTGTTGTTCCCTTGGAAGAATTTTTGGCCCTTTTACTTTCATCAATAATAACAAAGATTCATGATAGGTACTTATTATATAGGTTCTCTAAACAAATCGTAGCTCTTGCTTTGAATGTCATGATGAAAAAAATTTAAGCTACACTTTGGCTTCTTAAAAGAACAATTCCTTGACTTGCTTAGTGAGGATCCATGAATGAGACAGTAATCATCATTGCCAGATATTTATAATCACTGACTTTAAATCACAGTCTTTGGTTACAGAAAAAAGAAATGGGGATTATTATAAGTGGTTTTGTTTAAAAAATTATACCAATAGCTATGAAAAAGAGAAATAATGATAAATTCACTGTTTTAGGAAAAGTAATTTGGTGGAAGTTCACTAAATGATTTCAAAGAACATTAGGGAACCTAGAAGCTGGAATTCTAGTGGGACTGCTTCTGTGTGGTGTGGACCACCAGGTCAGGAGAGAGTGAGCCAGGGTTGTGCCATTTGTAACAAAGTTTTAAAAATGGAGAAGAGGCAACAACCTGTAAGACAGGTAAAAGGAAATCTAAATTCTATTTTTTTCTTCACTTTATCTCTAGTACCTATAAGATTACCTGGGATATAGCTAATGCTCACTTAAAATTTTTGAATAAAGTCCAGTTTCAGAGACATAGAAAGAAAGAAAAGCTAAGCCCACAAAGAAAAACTAAGGAAAGTGGAAATCATTTTATGTTGTTAGTTTAGGCAGTTAGTGCAGCTAATCTCTTATACACATAAAAGGCTAGTTCAGAGATATTTAATTATTTTTCAGAAACAAACCATAGTCTCACAAGTTTGCACCACATTAATTTATTATTAAGAAAGATAATGAATCAAGTGGATACATGATTGGCTTTACCTCCTTGTTCGCAAGAGTGTTCTAGAAAGTTAGAACTGATTCACAATACCCTGAGCTATTCAAGGTTAACTACTACTAAACATGTGTCTAAGAAACATAAACACAAATTTCATCCCCTGAAGTAATTTATAATGCAAATGATAGATAATAAGGCTCAACCATCTCCAGAATCACAGACATATCACTCTTAGGAAGTTTGCACTTGGCATTGGATCAGTCCTCCACTGGCACTGGGAAAGACGAGTTACAAGCTTTGAGGAGCTATTCCACATGCAGAGGCCTACAGCATAGGTTCACCTCAGGAACAAAAATGTAACCCAAGTTATTGTAGCCATCTCAGTTGTGACTCAGGGTGTTGGTCATGTGTCAGAACTCATCTCCGGAACAAGTAAGGGCCCAGGGAACTGGAACCAAGAAGAAATAAACTGACATCCCCAAGTGGAGACCAGTGCACAACACTAGGCAATTCTCAGCAGTTCATAACACCCTGGTTGGATGTGGGAGGTACTGTCCCCAGGAAACAGGTTCTAGTCCTCAGTCAGGCTCTCAGGGTAGAGCTCCTGTTGCCAGAGAAGAGGAGTACAAAGGAGACTCATGTAGGCCTTTCACCTTTGGAAATTCAGAAATTAGAAATTTGGATATTCAGACTAGGGATAAAAACAGTTCCAAAGTCTGAACCACATGACTTGAGACATGAACCATGTTATCACAATAGAGAGTTTGCAAGAACATGAATTATAACTCAGGGAACAACTTGAAACCCAGAGACAGCAGTGGAACAGAGTGTCCAGAATCAAATATGGAGCAAAGAGAAATTGGGGCAGATCTAGGAAATACAGTGTCATTGTGTAAATTTCTTGGGCCATGGTAACAGGGAGAAAAAACCTTAATTTTCAGCCAAAGTATATGGAAATTGGGTAGGGTAAATACTTTCTCAGAAATACTAGTCTACAAAAAGGCACAGACAGTTTACAAAAAGGTAATGATTGGCCTTAACTTTGCAGAATGTGGAAATTCAGAGTCAGGAGCAAAACTGGGAACTGATCAATGACACTGAAAGATCAAAGTTTTAAAAGTATGTTTGCTTCTTTAAAAACCCATTTGATTGCCCATGTCAGGTCATAACTGCCCTGTGTCAACAATTATAGGCTGGTTCTTTCAGAATCGCAGTTGAGGTTCTTTAGAAGTCCATGCGGAACTTCATTGTACTTCCAGACATTTCCTTCCCATAGATGGCATCGAAATTTCTCATTTTGGGCCACTGTGAAGTGATTCTTCCAGTCACCTGCAATGCCTAAAAAATAAGAAGTACAAAAAACATATGAAGGAATAACATATTTCCATTATGTGGGAAAGCTAGCATAGAGCAAAAGAAAAGGTTGTAAAAGTTAAAGAAAGACCTCCCTTTGTATTTGAATATTTCAAAATGTCATTTCTGTTTTACTGGTAATTTCTCCCATCTAAAAAGTGGCTTATAACTATAGAGTCTGAAATTTAGAGCCATATTCTGAAAGGGGTTAATTTTCTTGTCTAAATTTATGGATAGTACACTTCGTAGTTTCCTGAAAGAAGTTCTTTAGTGTGTCTCATTGTCCTGGGTCATAGGGTTACAACTATACACTGGTCAGGACATATTTTATATCATGAGTTACTTTGCAAACTGTACAAAGGAGGGTTCATCTGCACAAGCAATCCATAAAATAGAAAGCTGGTAAGTATCAGTTCTCAGAATGCATAAATGAGAATGGTATAATACTTGTAGGATACTTGTGATTTCTGAGTTCATTAGACTTATATTTTGTTTGCATTTTAGATGAGAAGAATAACATCAAACATAACATTCATGAATGATCTTTACAAAGGTAAACTTGGTGATATGAACTTATTTAATATCTTAAAATTGGATGCTTATAAGTATTTATTTAAAAAATAAATAAATTCTAACAGACTGCCAATGCACTTGGAGGAAAACATTTACTTTGTAATACTATAAAACAATCAATATTAAATATATCTTACTCAGTTGCAATGTATATTAATTTGTGATAACTTGATGAGAATTTCAAGTCCTTTTAATGAAAAACATCCCCTTAGGCTGTTTTCCTGGTTATTATACTTTGTTCTATGTTTACCAGATGACAAGAGTTCTTAAAAATGTATGTGAGGGTAGTGTAAATATATTCAGGATAGTACAACTGCAAAGGTATTAAAAACAGAGAGCACATACTTAAACAATAAAGAGCCATATATAAAGCATTCCAAAATTGTCCATTTAGAGTATAAATTACAGAACACATGCAAACACATTTGCTTCATAAGAATAAGGAAAGTGTACATTTTCTGATACAGAAAATGATGGCAAAGCTCAGATATTCCTGTTTTCTTGCAATTTGGGGCATGGGTATAAATACTGGACATCACCTATCCTGTCCCTACCACCTGTACTATTATGTAACTAAATTATAACATTGATCTATGCAACATAGCATCATTCAAGTCTTAAGTGTGCCTGGCCCTTTGGCCATTTCACTTCCAGCCCTTCTCAGCATCCATTTGCATGCATGCCTCCTGCATTGCATTAGGAGCCTCCTGAGGCAGATCATGTGTCGTTCAACCTTGCAACGGTCTAGAGAATATGTGCTACAGATAGGTGTTGATGAAGAGTTACCTCTGAGCCAATTACTGAGCGAGTGTATATGCCTTAAATATTTATTGAATGCATAAATGAGTAAATGGATAGAGGAATCTTGAACTTTTTAACAATACTTGCTACTTTTCTTGTATTATTTATGATCAGCAAAATATACCAAATACTTAAATAGCCATTTAGCATAATCTTCCCCCAAAACTTGTGCCATAAATGTTAGTACTTTGTATTTTCAGTGATACAACCAGGGTTTTGGCAGACTGATTAATACATTCAGAGTCATAAGTTCAGGGACTGGCATAGTCTGGATGAATTCCAGATCAATCTGACTACAAAGGAGGTGTTCTTTACCACTTCTGGAGGGCATGCTCTCATTAGACCAGCATGCACTTTTTTAGGATGAATAGAAAAACTCTATATTTCAGATACTGAGATTATCTCTTTTACCTCTATACCCCAGTGAGAGTCATGTAGTGGTATCAGTGTTCATATGAGAAGGATAAAACTCTCCTAGAAGTTCCAGTTGACATTCCAGCATGATAAACATTTGCTTTCTTTTTATAAAGATTGTTTTTCTGGCTCTTCCACCAGAATATGTGTGCGTATTATTAGTCTTCTTTGTTGTAGTGCACAGCTCACAATGAAAAACTTGCTTTGTCCTCTTATACTATAGTTTAGTTTTGAAAAGTTAAATGTAGAGATTTAAAAAAATAAAAAAACAATTTTAAAACACTAGAACTATTTTCTATTTTAGTGAGTAGTGGAGAACAATGTTTTATAAAGCAACTTAACCACGTAATTTTTTCAGAATTAAGGGTTTTCTTTCACACATTCCTGTACATAATATATCCCTATATCCCTAGGTTGTGTTTACTTCCCAGTGCACCCACTGAAATTCTACCCCTTTCCCTTCAACTCCATAAAGAATACTAAAACCAAAGGGTGGTGTCATTAGGTGGATAATGTCTCAAATTTAAGTTAATAATGTGTTAAATGCATTCTTTTTACCATTAATAAAACACTTTAACACAAATCATACACAACCAGCCACAATGGAAGTAATGCTGTATTTCAACAATGAATGCCATCTTCCTCTGTTGTCATCTTGCCAACTTAAATTTAGATTCCATGTTTCCTGTAATTCAGACTGTATTTTTAGGTAACAAAAAACTTTCCATAGGGTAAAAAACAAAGGTTCTTTATCTTGATGAATCCTTTTTAACAAAGTGACCACTGTTTTCTAAATGATATGGGGTCTTTAAAGAATGTGCTACTTTTTCCTGCCTTGTCTGGCTTAGTGGGTTCGGTGTCATCCTGCAAACCAAAAAGGATGCAGGTTCAGTTTCCAGTCTGGGCACATGACTGGGTTGCACCTTTGTGAGAGGCAACTGATAAATATTTCTCTCACACATAAATGTTTCTCTCCCTTTCTTTCTCCCTTCTTTCTTTTCTCTGTACAAATAAAAAGAATCTTCAAAAAAATAATACAGTGCTGTACTGGCTGACACAATTTATCACCAAGAGAAAGATGCTTGTGTCAATTTAGACAAAGATTGAGGATTTACATACAACAAATTTGAAATGACTCATTTCAACTTTGCAGTGGTATTTGAAGTAATACAAATTCATACAGGAGGGTAGGTGAATGCTTATAAGCCCCTGTCTAAGAGGAAGTAGAAAATAAAGGAGGGGGGAACATTTGAAAGATACAGTAGATAGGGCATGGGAACCAACGGGATGTTCAAGAAGCAGTTGAACTATATCCACTATATGGAAGCCAGTGAGGACAATTCTGAAATCAGAATTTTCAAGACCACTCCCTGTTAGCAGAGTAGTAAATAAGGGGAGAAATATCAATCAAATACTCAAGGTATTTTGACTATAGGTTTACATGCATTATTTCCTTTAATAATTTCTAATCTGATGTGACAGTTTTTTTGTGGTTACTATTTTTAGTGTTGCTATTTTACAGATGAGGGAATTGATACTCAAAGTATCTAAGAGATAAGGCAGAGATCAGAAAGTGAATCTCATTACAGAGTAATGTATAAGACAGTAAAAGGGGAAATTAAACTCAGAAAGATATTCACCTTTGCGCATAAAAGGAGATTTGCTGTGATCCATCACTGTATTTGGGATATGTGTATAATTCACCAGAGGGTTATCCTTCATCATTCCAAATGAGGTGTGATGGACGATCTTATCCAGGATCTCATCATTTAAGTTTTTCTCTAGAAATGTAGCAATCTTCTTGATTTCTTGCTTTGGATTCTATTAGTAGGTAAAGAGACATCCAAGAACATAACAAAGATAATGTAAAATAATATTATATTTATAATCTGTTTTCTTAAATGTTTATCTGAATATTGAATCCATATTTGTTTGGGTCTCTTCATAATTTTTTTAAATATTTATAAAAATGAAAACATAATTTCTGTTCAAGAAAAAATAGACTAGAAATGTTTTGTTAGTTACAAATCTTATGTTTTTAGTTTACACTTAAAGTACAATAAGAACGAAAACTTTGGGCTAAATATTAACAATACTTAGAGAAAAAAGCCTAAGTTCTATTTTAAGCTCATTTGTAATCAGATTTGAACTGTGCATGACTTAGTGAACCAATTTGTTTTTATTCTTTCCACCTCTTTTTTCTGCTTTTCATTAAAAATTTTTTTCTTGTTGTTAGTAACAATATTTAAAAACAAAAATAATAAATTCATGGACAACTTCAAGTATATTTCCTTAAAGTATAAATTCTGATTAAAACTTGCTTAGACACTGGTTATTGAAAATAAAACTCTAATAAATGTGCAAAGATATTGAGACCTAAATTATTTATTAACTATTGGGGATAAGAAGGATCAAATTTGAGAAATAGATCATTTTCCAGATTTTAATGACATAAACAATATTTGTAAGTTTTTAGGAAGCCAAACTAAAATCTGCATGAATACAATAGAAAGATTTTGGAAAGGTGATATCTAAGCTGAGTTTAAAAAGGGTGAGTCAGAAATTACCAAGATGTGTGGTTTTGTAGTACTGAGCAGTGAATATCCAATAATGAAAAGAGTTAAAACTCTTAGAGGTATTAGTGTCTCATAGTGTGTTCCAGGGAGAGAAAAGCAAAATGGTTAAAGTTAGATCTGATGTGTTCACAGGAGTGAGAGAGGTATAAAACTGGAAAGATAAATTGGGATTAAATTTAGAACATCCTTGGATATCCTGTGGAAGGATATGTATCTGTAATAACAAAGTGAAGCAACAGCTTTGAATAATGTGTATTATTAACTCTAAGCATGTGTGTGTGCATGTATACACATGTGTATATTTTTTCAGGGGGTTCCCTGGAAGGGAAGTTATGGTAATGTTTTATGTGTGAGGCCTCAATGAGAGAAGAATGGGATGTCTAATTAAGGGGTGGAGATACTTAGAATGAGTGCAGTGTCAGCAATCATGACAATGGTGAAAAAGCCAAAAGAGAAGTTAGTAACACTAGGGAAACACACCGATGGATGGGCAAATAGCAATTTCTGCTAGTGATTCAAAGTGTTTGGAGAATAGTCTGGCCACAGCCAAAGCATGACTGATGATGTCAGTTTATAAACTGACAGTAACAGTTCAAGTTCAGAGTGTTGGCACCTATTGAATCTTCCTCTGCTGCATTGCTCTTTCATGTCATTGAACGAGAATTTATGCAGACACATAAATCTGATGTAAATTATTGGACTTCTCTCTGAATTTTATTCTTGATATAAAATTATACTTTTGTTCTATTGTTCTATTAAACTTCTTTATAAAACATTTTCTAAGAATGTCTATTTTGGAGTAAAAGAATTGGTTTTTAATTATGACCCATAAAGGAGATTTGAGTGGGGTTCAACGTAATTGGATATGCTTATGCTTATTGGATATGTCCCTGATTAGGACAGACTGTAAATTAATATAAATGAGTTGATTTGAATAAGGCAGTGTAGCTACAGAAAGAGAAAAGGTTGACAGGAGAACATCATGTAGGAGACAGCATGTGAGTCAGAGTTTGGATACCAGCCCATACCAGAAAAGGTATTTCTCCATTCTGTGGAGAAAAGGGACTATATTAAGAAGCTAAAATTGCTCTTTCCATAAGGCTAATAAGTACTACTCATGTGTCCAGGAAGAAACAGAGATACTTGACACAGAAGAACAATTCTCTCTTATAAAGCACTCGTAATTTAATCTGATTAATAAAAACCACTTTAGTCGTGCAGCTGTGTATGCCAGCAAGTTTACATAAATTGCTTCAAGCACTGATAAGATTTAGATGACAGGTTCTCAATGTGCTGCAAACAAATGTGATAGAGGGTGGAGGCACATGCAGAGCAGGAAAACAGACAACTCTTTAATAAGAGGTGAGAAATAATCTGCAGGTGTCTCAGAAATACTTGGGACAAGGGACATTTTACCTGGGACATGATTTCTGGTATGCAAAGTAGAACTGTCACTACATTTTTTGTTATTACTGCTTACTCATTTATTTATTCATTTATTCAAGGGATCAGTTATTCATACAACAAATGGCCATTGAGCCTTTACTGATGGTGCAGGTGCTGTATTAGGTACTGCAGGTGAGAGTCACAAGAATGGTTCATATGGTACCTTCCATCATGAATCCAAAAGTCTAAAAAAAATCCTCATTCGTATGCTCAGGCTTTTAGAACTAGAGAAACTTGGCTTAAACATATTTGCCATGTGTGCATGCACATTTGCCTAATTTGAGTAAAATAGCTCCAAAATGGGCCTGGAACTTTGCAGCGGCATTTGAAGTAATACTAGTGCATACAAGAGGGTAGATGAATGCTTATGAGTCCCTGTCTAAGAGGAAGTAGTAAGAAAATAAAGGAGGGGGGCACATTTGAGGGATATAGTAGGTAGGGCATGGGAACCAATGGGATGTTTAAGATGCAGTTGAACTATATCCACTATATGGAAGCCAATGAGGACAACTTACTTTCAAGCTTTGAAAAGTGAATCTACATACAACATCATTAACCAAAAGAGAGAATAAACCAAGAAGAAATATGTTGGAGAGAAGGAAGCAAAACGAGATTAGGTTTGAACACATTAAATTTGAGAGTCATTTTAGTAAAAGCACAGGTTTGAATTCAGCATAGAAGTAAAAAAAAAGGTTTTGAAGGGCCATTAGCACATAAATAGTGTTGGCGACAGTGGGCATGGATTAAGCACCAAAATACACCAAGCAGCTGAAAAAAAAACTGGCTAAGTGATACAGAGAGATCCACTGGAAAACCACCAGTGCAATAACCTGTTAAATGAAGAAGAAAATTGGAGAAAGGAAGGCTGCTAAAGTAAATGCAATGGTTAAAAAACAAATATGAGGAATAAAAATGTCATAGTTTTCACAATTAGAAAGTTATTAATGATCTTAACAAGATTTGGGTAAGCAGTCATGAAGAATAGAAAAAGGAATCATATCATTTTGGACTCTACACATTAAGTTGAAAATGTTATATTAATACCTTTATACCAGGATGTAGTGGAAAATTATCCATAATGGATTTCTACCATTTTACCTCTTTCATATCTTCATAGTGTAAGAAAAGTATTGGGTGTTCTTCTGTTTTCTTCCACCAGCTCTTAACATGATTAAACCAGGAGCCATAGGCCACTAAAAGCAGAGAAAGAATCTGTGTCCATAAGTATTCATAAAATTAAAGATTTGTTTCTGAACAGTAAGTTAGATTGTACAAACATTTTGTGGAATTTAATAGCCATGTGGACTGAGAATATAAAGACAACTTAAAAATATATATCAACCACATATGAATTTATAAGCAATCAGGTTAAAAATAAAGTACAAGGAAGTATTTCAATTGAAAATACATTGACCTCCAACAAGTTATACTTAGCCTCATATGGAAGGAAACTATTATTTTATAAACTACTCATATCAACTGTTTATCTATACTATAAATATACATATAACTGATTTAAGTAATTGCTTAGGGAAGATAAACAGTTTCTGTTGTGAGCAGAAACTGAGACTAGGTTTCTAGCAGTTGAAAAGAGATTAGACAATATTTTCATGAAGCCAATGTTTAATACCAGATTTATATATTGAAAGTCATAGTACAATATTACATATATTTTATTTAATTCTTTAAATGGTATTTGAATGTACTTGTTTCTGATTTGGCAAAAAGTGTTTAGAAAATAAAAAGTCATACCAGTATGACCAGTAATAGTAGAATTATTTAAAATTGAAAAAAATGACTTATTAAGTTTAGACCAAGGACTACCTACCATTTCCAGCCATGAAATTCTCCAGATACTTTTCCCAGGTAACGGGTGGAGGGTGCAAATTATTCATTAAGTCAAAATGGTAATATGAAACTGCAACATCCTTGGCATTTCGAGCCATATAAATCATCTGCAAGAGGAGGAATAGGAGATCAAATGGATGCTATTTTATTTAGGAAATGCAAATTAAAACATCGAGACACCACTTCACAATAATTAGAATGACCACAACTCCAGGAAATTGACAACATCAGACCCTGCTGTGGATGCAGAGCATTAAAAACTCTCATTTATGGCTAATGGGAATGCAAAATGGCACTGCTAGTTTGGAAGACACTTGGGTAGTTTTTCTTTAAACTAAACATATCTATACCATGTGATTTAGCAATTGCACTACTTAGTATCTACCCAAATTTGTTGAGAAATAAACAAATAGGCCTGCTCAAAAACTTGCATGTGGTTGTTTGTAGTAGCTTTATTCAGAATTGCCAAAATGAGAAGCAACCAAGATGTCCTTTGATAGGTGAGTGAATAAATACGCTTTGGTACCTCCAGACAATAGAATGTTATTCAGCACTTAAAAGAAATGAGCTATCAAGCTGTGAAAAGACATAGGAATCTTCAATGCATAATAGTAAATGAAAGACTACAACCTGTAATGGCTATATACTGTGTGATTCTAAGTATATGATATTCTGGAAAAGGCAAAACTATGGACACAGATCAGTGGTTTTCAGGGTTGGGGGAGGGAGGGATGAATAGGTGGAGCACAGAGGATTTTTAAGGCAGTGAAACTACACTGTATGATACTATAATGTATGATTACACACATAAATACACATTTGTCCAAACCTATAGAATGGACTACACCAAGAATGAGCCCTAGTGTACGTTATGGACTTTGGGTGACAACAATGTGTCAGTGTAGGTTCATCAAGTGTAACAAATGTGCACTCTGGTGGGAGACACTGATGATGGAGCACCTAAGCACGTGTGGGAGCAAGGGGTGTTTGCACAGGCACTTTGTCTTCCACTCAGTTTTGTTGTGAACGTAAAATTGGTCTATAAATAAATGAAATTTCTGAAGAAAAAAATAAAATCTGTTAAAAGAAAGAATAAGAGGTGACTACATGAATAACTTTTCATTCAACCACGTAGAATTCCTCACACAAAACTCAACCACATAGAATTCCTCACACATCACAAACTGGTAAAATCAGCTCAGATGAAATGGATAACTGGAATACCAATATCCATATGTTGAGTTTTCAGGGAAGACCAGAACATCTAGGGACAACTGGGGAGTAACAGTAGCAATAGTGTGCTGAGATGAGAATTCTGTTGCTGCATAACTTTGCAAAACTTCAGTATGTAGGTTTAGACTAAAACAGCTGAAACACTTTCATTGAAAGTGTGTGAACTGAATTGTGTGTGAAGTGAATTGAAACATGTGAACAATTATTTCTATGTGAGTGAAAGAAAATAAGGTCATTAAAAAAATTGGCTGCCAGTCTGGAGTGTACCTTGCAGTTGTTCTCCCAGAAAGACTTAGGAAGAAGATCAATTGGTAGATGTGTCTTCACAAGACGAGGAGATGGATTTTTCTCCAATTGTTCTATACCTGGAAAATTTAGTTTGTTATATAGAGGTATTACTCTCCAACAGGGTTGGATTTCTTGATTTTCTCAACCAACTTTTCAAAATATGTTTTAGCAGTATATGAAGCTGTTAAGTTTTGAACTAGTCATAGGCATTATTTATCTGGATTCTAAGAGGCAATATTGCATGATAGTTAAGGATATAGGATTTGAGATCAGTCCACTTAGATTCAAATTCTAACTCAATCACTTACTCACTGTGAGACATTTGACAAATATCGCAGTCTCTATGCTTCACTTTCTTCACTTCCAAAATGAGGAGTAATAATTCCCACCTTAGCACTTTGGAATTTTATCATCACTGTGCATACTATAAATAATTATAAAAATGTTTTCTCTATGTCAACAAGATACTAATACTTAGTAAGTCTTACATCACACTGTTTTGCATCAGCTATTATAGTTTTGATGATGTCATTCTGTGTAGCATTAGCTGTTGTATCTGCATTTTCATTATTTCCTGTATTTGTTACATGCATATGCAAAGCAAAAATGTGTAACTTTTAGGTGTTAGCTAAACTATCCAAAGTCACACAACTCATATGTGCTAGAAGTAGGTGTCACATTAAGTGTTTGGAGAAGGGATGTATAAACTTCCCTGAGACAGAGAACATCCCTTCATTTTCTGTGTTCAGAGTCAGGAGGATCGCACTACATAAGTGACTTGGCCAGTCTGCAGCCACTTGAGGAGTAAAGGCATACTCAGAGAATTTCTGACATAGATGAGGGGGAGCTGGGCTTACCCTTTTCATTTGCTGCTCTTATAATGGACTTGAGGCCTTTATTCCAGGTATAGATGTTAAAGATGTCATCTCTTATAGAGTCACCAAGATCTCATTGATTGGCTCCTCTTTCAGGTTTCACATCCAATGAGTCTTAAAATCCTATGCATATTTTTCACAATATTACTTATATCCTGCCTAACCTCTAGATTACCTGTTAATCCTGCATATCTTCTCATCTTTTGCATATGACAACATACTTGCTCAAAATTTTATCTGACTCACTAATTTAAAGCAATCCTATGCTTCAATTCTTAACAAAATTGTATTGCACATGCTAAAAAGCCAGTCAGTGTCTCTTTATTAAAAGAACCTTTTAGAAGGTTCTATACAGAACTTGTTGTTTCATAGTTCATTTACCTATTTGTTTATTGCCAGTTGCCATGTGTTTTCCTTGACCCCACCCCCCAAACACACACACTAGAATGGACGTTCCATTAAGGCAGGCATAGAGCCTGTTTTCTTCACCAACAAAAGCTCCATAGAGAATAGGGCATAGCACCCACTTGAATCAAGAAGAACCCCTTAATATCAATGCAGATAAGATCAGCAAATTTAGGAAATAAAGACGCAAAAAGTCCAGTTAAATCTGTATTTCAGATTAACAAGAGATACCTTGGAGTATAAGTATCCCTCATGAAATATTTAGGATATACTTTACTAAATAAAATAGCTTTCTGAATTTAAAAATTAATTGGGCATCTTGAATTTTATGCGGAAAATTAATTATACAGCTATAAAATTCCACAAGGTATTTCATTATGCTTCTACTGACCTAGTAGTCGCAGCCTCTTTATTCAGCATACAGACATGAGAGATCTTAACCTTCCACATTCCACTATTCCTCAGTGCCATGATGTGAACTCTGATGTCTGTTTCTTTTATGAATTGTTTCCCACATTGTTGTCCCTCTTCCCTCCCTAAACTTCAGTGAAAAATTTCTCAGTCCCATCTGTCTTGTAACTGTTTTGCCATTGAGACCCTTTAAATGAACCCTTTATGACACATTCACAAACATAAATATTGGGAATATGTAATGACACCACAAGTATTCACATTCAGGCTCCAGAGTAAACCTGAGTGCCAGTTCATCCTCCTTTACTTGGTGAACCTCACCAATTCAGTTTTTGACAGTGCTGTGCAGCCTCACTAACCACCTCCCACCCATGTGTCTCCCACCAATTATATCCACTCCTCTCTCCCTGACTCATCTGATACTATCACTTCTTTTTGATTACTTTATTGTTCAACTACAGTTGTCTGCATTTTGTCCCCACCATTCCCTCTCATCACAGCCAATCCCAACTCCCACCCTTCCCCTTGGTTTTGTCCATGTGTTCTTTATAGTAGTTCCTGAAAACATTTCTCCCCACTGTCCCCTACCCCCTCCCTTTTGACTATTGTTAGATTCTTATTTTCAATGTCTCTGGTTATATTTTGTTTGCTTTTTTCTTTTGTTGATTATGTTCCAGTTAAAGGTGAGATTATATGGTATTTGTACCTCACCACCTGGCTTATTTTACATAGCATATATAACTTCATAGCTTTCTGTGACTGGTGCCTTAACTCACTTTTCACTCATTTTGGTTGTCTGTCCCAGAATAATCCTTTAATTTCAAGCTTCAGCATTTGCTCTCTGACTTCAAGCAACCACACAGAATGAATGATATCCAGGTGGTTCTTTTCGTCCTATGAAAATGGCGAGTTCAGGCAGGTCAGAGAATTTAGATTGTGCTCTTTAAATTGATACACAGCTTCAGCACCATAATTATTTCCAGGTTTCCAGCATCATTGAAGAGACAGGACTCACTGCTTAACTCCTCTCACTTGCCTATAAGAAACCATCTCATTCTCTCTTAGTTCACAGTTTCTTGAAATTTACAAGCCCTACATGACCTGTCCCTGTCTAGTCTCTAATTGTTTTGCATCTCACATTTCCAGTCTTTCATTGCTGTTGTTGGTTGCTTTAGTTGTTTTTTAGTCCCTGGGCTATACCAATACCTTTTCAACACCTAGGTTTTTATAACTTATATTCACCCTCCTGAAATAAGTTTTCTCCAACTATGTATGCAGTATTAGGTCTCAATTCAGGAGCAGTATCTCTAATTACTCAGTTTAAAGTAAACTCTCCTGTTTTTCTTTTCCATAGAGCCCTATTCTTTGGATACATAAGATAAATAGTATTCATATATTTTTACTTCATTTACTTATTTAATGTCCTCAAATTACCATAAGCTCCTTGGGGTTTAGGACATGAATTTACTAGTCATTTTGTATGTAGCCCATACAACAGTGTATAATTCTTTAGAAGCACTTAATAAACACTTGAGAAATGAAAAATAAATTGTACTAATAAATAAATTTTATTTTTTGAGAGGCATTGTGTTTCTTTACTTATTTAACTACAGCAAAGTCCTAAATTAAGAGCTTATTGTTCTAATCTACCAAATTCTACAAAATAAAAGTCAATAAAAGATAAGAAACATTTCTTTTATGTCATCCACCACATTTTTAATTGCTTTCTACAACAAAACTCATTCATTTTTTGTTATCATACTCAAATATGTCATGGACTAAAATTGTAGTTTCTCTGTGTGCTTTGGTATTGCACTGTTTTCAGACTTTCATTTTATGTTACTAAATTTACTCCATTTTCTTTGAGTGGAAGTAATAAATACAATAATTAACAGTGCTATATAAATAACATTACAAAATTATAATTCCCAAATGGTTTAAAATTACCTGAAGTTCTCAATCCAGGAACAGCCATTTCCAACATTGGAACTTTAGCAGTTATAAAATCTCGCTTAGATTTTTCGACATCTCCATCATTTAAAACCATGTCCACAATTTCACTTACCCAAGTGGTTCCTGTGTCAAAAAGCAACATTTTTTTATAAACATTGCCTGAATCTGAAGGGGAAAGTACCTGTTGGAAGCCTGACATTCTAATACATTCTATCAGAAATTTAATTCTGCAGTTTCCTTTTCTATGCCCCAAATGCCCATATAATACCTTTGAAATAGATGGCTATACTGACTGATAGGATTAATTTTACTGAGGATGATAATGGTTTTATGGAGAAGCTGATTTTCAGGCAACAAAGGCTGAAGTCAGACCTGCATTGGTCAGGCCACAAAACTCACCTGATTTGGGGGTAAGTGACTATCACAATGTCATCAGGGCCTGCTTCGGAACTGTTCAACCTCTTCCCAGTTGTTTGCAAAAGCATAGATCATAGGACAGCCATGGACCATCTTCAAACTTTTTCTCAGGATGTCTTTTGGGGAGGCCATTTTTTATACAAGATTGTACAAATTCTTAATAGAATAATTACTGACAATTGAATCCTGGAAAAGTAAAGAGGACAAAGATCAGAAGCTGAGTAACTAAAGTTATCCTCAAGACACGGCAATCTAACACAAAGTAAAACTGGCCTCTATCACACTGAGCACACAGAGATCTGAATACAAAGGGCATTTTTGTGGGTATAAAGCTGTAGATTGCAAGAGCAGCCACTGGCTCAGTGACAAGTGGACAAAGGTCTTTGGTGGAAGATTTGGAAAGAAATGAAACTACCTCACTTAGAATTTTAAAAGTCATATTACACAGAAATACATTAAAAGGTATCTGGACTTCATGCAAAAAGGGTCTGGACTATCACCCATAATCACACTCTAGTTTGCCTCATTTTTCCTTACATAAATCTGTTATGTTTCTCACCATTTTTTTTTCTGTACTAGTTTTTTAATTAGCACGTATTTTCTCTTCCTGATTGTAAGATTACTTTTTATCACTGGTTTTGAGCAATTGAATAATGATGCGCCTTGGTGTGGCTGTTTTCATGGGTGTATGTGTGTGTCTATGTGCACTTCAGATTTATCAAGCTTTTTAGGAAATGTGGGTTTCACAGTCATTATTCTTCAACTATTTTTTCTGTCTCTCCCTCTTCCTTCTGAAATTCCAGATGCCATGAAGTTTTCACAGCACACTGATGTTCTATTCATTTTTTAAAAATCTTTTTCTCTCCTTCTGTTCCAATTACTATACCTTTATGTTCACTAACCTTTTCTTCTAGAATGTGTCATCTGATGTTATTCCCATCCTATGCACTTTTTCAGGCATTGTGGTTTTCATCTCCTAAGATCATTTTGGGAATGATTATATGTATGTCTCCTGTCTCAACTTTTCAAACATGCTGAGTACACGTACAGTGACTGTATGCAGAGTCTACTTAAAGACACCAAACACATCAGTGGCAAAGCAGAAACAGGCTTCAGTCTTTCCAGCTCCACTCACTTGGTTATACTGCAAATCTACCATGGGTGGACTGTCCCCAGAGTCAACAAATGTTCATGATTTATCTTATTCAAATAAGAAGTTCACAGTTTATAAGGAAATCTTTCTTTGACAAAGCAAACTTCCCCCTGACAAAAAGCACAAGCTTTCCATGCTGCAAAAATGTCAGAGAAGAGTGGTGTGAGTAACAAGATGAAACTAAGGCAGCAAATCTGAATAGTCACCTCTGGGATGTGGGTGTGAGCATTTCAGAAACCTAGGAGGATTAATCCTGAATTAACATTGCCTCTCTTTGTGACCAGTAGATGATGATGAGTTCATACTTATATGTGGTGATGGGTCCAAGCAGTAGGGCTGGAAAACATAAGATAACTAATCTCATTGAACCAGATACATTGGAAGATGGTTCAAGACTGATTTATTTTCAAACATAAAGTTAGTTCATAAAAAATCTGGTTATCCTACTAGAAAGTAACAATTTTATGCGGTTATATATTATAGCCTATATGATCTAACAAGTCTTTTTATTTAAGTTAAGCCATGGGCTGAAAATTAAACTGTCTAAACTTTGCTTTTAAAAAAAGATTAATGAAAAAGGAAAAATAAAAATAATGCACCCCTTAGAAGAAACAGAGTCCTCTGACTTCAAAGCTGAATGGTTCTTTTAATGAGAAAAGAATGTTTCTACCCTGTGTCTCACTCAATACAAAGTCCTGCTTTATGTGGTCCACATCAAACCCCAGGAACTGAAATAAATAAAATAAACAACATATTCAATATACCGGAAAGTGAGTGTGTGCACATACTTGTTTGTAGGGAGGGGTGGAGGGAAAATGTGAGAAGTGAGGATTTGAAGTGGATCCCTTTTTCCCTCATGAGGCTCAATGTTTCATGAGAAGATCATCCTGGCACACTTCAGGACAGTCCAGCTGAACCCAGAAAAATAACAGTGATCATTAAAACCTGAGAAATGCTGCACAATGTAACAATAACTGCATTTCCTGTGGGAAAAAAAATGAAATATGGCAAAAGCATTCAAATTACAAGCATGTTCAAAATCAAAATCATTTAAAGAGCACAATCCTTTGTTGATGCAAGGTAAAAACTTCAAGAAGAGAGATTTAAAATGAAAACTTGAACTCACAGTTTAACCCCCCCTTTTGGTTTTCTCTGTCAGCAGTAGTGCAGCTGTTAAAAGGAATCCTGGAAGCTGGTAGTAGTCCAGGAAGTGTAGGGCTAGGGAGTCCTGGAAAGGGAAAAATAAACTTATAGGGTATTATTTGAATATAGTTGTCAGTGACTTTATAGGCAGTTAAGATATGAAACATATAAACTACACACACACACTCAAAGGCAAGGCATGCTCTTTCAACAACTGGCAGAGCCAGGAGGCCCTGAGAAGGAAATGGATCAGGGTGGTGGCCTGAAGTCAGCCAAGTCAGAGATTCCCTAGATTTGAATGTTCCCACAAGGCTTCAAAGGATCTGGAAGGAGTGTAGAGAAAGAAATGGAAGGGTCAGTGGATGAAAGACTGTTGCTTCCCTATGATGTATAAGCATGTCTCCTAATCATTTTGTCCATGATGAAGAGTTATGTTGTTTCTTTGTGTGCATGTTTGTGTGTTTTCTCCTGGAAAACACATGAGCTCCCAATATCATGAAAAGAGCAAACATATGCTAAAGATATAATTACAATTTTGGCAGGAGAAACAGAGAGGATAGAACTAATGGTTTCAGAAAGTATTTGCTTTCTTTTAGTCTAATAATTTCTAAAACCTCTTAGGTTATTTGTTTTTGTTTTTTTTTAGTTTGATTTTTTTCTTTTCTTTTTTTTTATTTTTAGAGAGATGGAAAGGGAGAGAGACGTAGAAAGAGAGAAGCATCAATATGTGGTTTCCTCTTGTGTGCCCCCTACCAGGGGCCTGGCCTGCAACCCAGGCATGTGCCCTGACTGGGAATCAAACCAGCGACCTTTTGGTTCTCAAGCCCACACTTAATCCACTGAGCTACACCAGTTAGGGCTTAGTTTGATTTTTTGTATTCTGAGTCGTAGATGTATAGAGAAGGAGTGAACAAGAAGTGTGTGTGTGGAGGGGGAGAAATATGCTCCTGCCCTCCACCCTCCTACCTCAACCACCCTATAAGGTTTTATTATGCTCTAGTTTCTGGCATCAATCTTTTTGTTAAGGACATTTGTCTGAAACTTAGATACAACTACAAGAACCAACCCCTTGCCTTGACAATTATATCAGTGTAGGTTTGGGGAAGTCAAAAAAACCCAGAAAAAAAACAGCATACTTTTTTTATACGTTTCATTTTACTTACAGATTTTTAAAGAAATTTTAAAGACATATTTGTGTTTATAAAAGACCTTGCCTTTACCAACAGATTACTATTTAATTTTTTTTTGCCAGCAAGTGTTTATTTTCTAGTTTATGTGGAGGGTAAATGTATGTGTGAGAGAGAACAAAAAGAAAAGATGTTAATGCGTGTCAGATTTAGCTGCATTTTGTTTCAGTTGTTGGAATCTATAATCAGTGCATCTGTTATATGACTCTGAAGATCACGAAGATCCATCAGATATTAACATGAATCTGGCTCTCTTTGAGGATTTTGAACATATGATTTTTCTGAGATATTCCCTAAGCTAGTTCATTTTTGGTGTGTTCTTTTGACCCTGTAGACTAAGGCACTTTTTTTTTAGTTTTGATGACACAAAAAGACTTTGGCTCACTCAAGTCACCACCCTTTCCTGCTAACCATGCAATCAAATGACATGTTCCAAAGTCACAGAGTCAATACAGTGCTACCATCACCAAAAAACAAAAGTTCAGAAAATTATATTTTAAATTGGATACACATATCTCCTATTAAATATTAAGTTTTTCAATGTTAAAAAGCCAATTGTAATAGGCAAAATAATAATGGATATCTAGACAAGCTCAAGTCATGAAGAGTTTGGAGACCTTGTGCAGTTCTACCTCAGATTCTTTTAAATAAAATCATCAGTAGAACAGATTATTGCACTATCTCAGCCACAATTAGTGAAGCTATGCAGAACAGCAGCAGGCACCCTGAAATCAGTGGGAGAAGCCAGAGGGTGTGTTAGTTCTAGGTGAGCTATAAATCCCAAACTCAAGTTTAAACTCCATGCCTCCCCACCACAAAAAAAAAGAAAGAAGAAAAACAGAAGGAAAGAAAGAAAGAGAAAAAATAGAAAGAGATAAAAAAGGAAAAGGAAGAGGGAAAAAAAAATAGAGAAAATTCTTTCAAAAATATTTAAGACTCATTTAGATAAACTCACTTTAAAGTCATGTTGTAACATGGATACATGCATCACAAAATAATAAAGGGAAAAAATTGTGAAATCTTGTACTGTATCTTTAAGTCATGTTGGGGTAGCAAAAGATAAATATGTGTCAATTAGGTCAATTAGTGTGTTAAATATATGAAAGATAAGGAAGCATTAGTAAAGGAATTTTCCATATAATTAGGCTGCTATTAATCTTGTTTGCTTATTTGTTCTCATAAAAATATACACACTGATAAACATGTGTGTACCTACGCACTGACATAATGAAAAGATTCTGTACAGAAACCACACTGTAATTGGGAACTTTCATCAAAGCAGGACACATGCCACACTGATATCCATTGCATGCCTGCTTCTAAATGTTGGTCTTCTCAGTGTGTTTACCAGATGTGTTTGAAAATAAATATGTTGCAAAAAGGATTCCATTTTTTTCAACAGTATGAACAGCCTTTATTGGTTGCAACAGGAAGTAGAAAAGAGTGAGGGATATGACTGCTCCCCCTTCCTGGGTAGGCTGTAGCAACCCTCCAAAAGCTAAGTGGTGTTTCTTTAATAAGGAAAACATTGAACACATAGTGTATGACACTGATGTTAATTTGGTAAGATTTCTTTATTTGGGTTGAATTGTCAGGGTTTTTATCCATGAAGAAAAATAATGTTCCAACAAAGAACAAATTTCTGAAACAAACTAGTCTTTAAAGTTTATACTTACTTGCCTGGCAGGGGTAGCTAAGTGAATTGAGTGCAGGCCTGTCAACCAACAAGTTGCTGGTTCAATTCCCAGTCAGGGTACATGCCTGAGTTACAGACCAGGTCCACAGTAGGGGGCGCACGAGAGGCAACCACACACTGATGTTTCTCTCCCTCTCTTTCTCCCTCCCTTCCTGTCTCTCTAAAAATAAATAAATAAAATCTTTTAAAAAATAAAATAAATAAATAAATAACATAAATAAATAAGATAAAATTTATACTTACTGACCTTTTATTTTTTAAAAAATAAAATCACAAGCAAGTGCTTGCAATGCAAACCTAATTTTTTCCATGGAAAAATTGCTGCAAAACAAATTAGTGGTTTGGAAGAAAACTGATTACGGAACTATGAGAAGTTTAAGACTAAATTTACAGTGTCATATAAAATTTTAAAAAATGATATTATCAACAATACTCCCTCACTAAAAAACATTCTTATGATATATCTAAAAAAATAAAAACTGGCTGATAGGTGAACTTCTAGTAACATTATCAGTTTGTGTCTAGGTCTCCATCTGGTAGCTATGTACAGTATCTGGCAAAATATGTGTTTTAGGCCTTATGATAGCTGGGAAAACAATATTTTAATTTTTATACATATATTCATAAGAGACTGTATTCTCAAAATATTGCAATACCAAAACTTGGAAGTTAAATTGGTTGTAAATTTAATCTTATATAAGGTGCTCCAATTCAATTCGGCCAGATTGCTGAAATAAACCCAATGCAATAAGTCATAACTCAATTCAATGGCATTTCTCCAACTGATTGAAACAGATTGAAGATACATTTGATTTTGTCACTTTAAATAAATTTCTCTTAGTTTTAAAATATATACTATATGCAGAATAAAATTTTACATAGATTTTTAGGCAGAGTATAATTTTTTCAAGAAATTTTATTACAGCTTAGGATATAGTCAAGAATAGTGTAGTAACTCTGCATGGTGCCAGTTGGATACTGGAAATATTAGAGGCAACACTTTGTAAAGTATATAATTTTCTAACCACTCTGTTGTGCACCTGAAACTAATACAAAATAATATTGGGTATAAACGGTAATTGAAAAAAAATGATATAAGCCAGGCAGTAAAAGATAAATACCATATGATCTCACCTTTAAGTGGAACCTAATCAACAAAACAAATGAGCAAGCAAAATATAGCCAGAGACTTTAAAATTAAGAACAAACAAACAGTAACCAAAGGGGAAGTTAGACGGAATAATGGGGGGAAAAGGGTGAAGGTTTTCAGGAACAACTATAAAGGACACATGGACAAAACCAACGGGGTTGGAATCAAGGGAGCGAGGTGGGGATTGGTGGGGTGGCAGGGAGAGATGGGGGTAAAGGCAGACAACTGTACTTGAACAACAACAAAATTTAAAAAAAAGAAAAATGTTAAAAATGTTATTATGAGATAGGTAATTTAGTCTGCCCTCTTAAACTTTTCTTTTTTCTCCTCCCTCTACCTTGGGCCTCATTTACTTTCATCTCCTACTAGACATTCTTCAGTATTAACTGTGAGAAGGGTTAATGTGAGCCTAGAGTTCCAAAAGCAAACACCTATGAACAGGGTGACTTATAATTTATCATCTAAACCAGTGATTTTCAACCCTTTTCACCCTTGGCACACAAAAACTAATTACTAAAATTCTTCAGCACAGCAAAAAAATATGTTTTTTGCCAACCAGACAAAAATTTTGTCCTGTCTGGCAGTTTTGATTCATTCACAACAGATGGCTATTGTTGTGTTGGCTGTTGTGATATTTTTATTTCATAATCTAAGGGAACAGAGGTCAGTGGCCCTGACTACACAATCTGGGATTGCATGTTTTAAAAATTCTTATAGCACACCACTGTGCCATAGCATACCAGTTGAAAATCACTGATCTAAACCAAGACACTTTGGAAATACCAAATGCTATAAATAATTATGTGAGGATAAAAGATTAAACTAATATGCCAGACGAACTGGAAAACTGAGTCAATCCATTCATAGACTGTCATGAAGCAACTTGATATTAAAAAATAACAACACCTCAAGCAAGATCAATTAATATATGGTCTCTGTATTAGGAGAATCATGTGATAACGATGCTGGGGATGCTGAGGTCCAGCACATCCTTGCCTTGCAGAAAACGAGGGCAAGAGGGCAACTTTTTTAGAAATCTGATTTTTTGTGTGTG